TTTTTCACCAGAATTTGTGGATAAAGCACACGTTTGTGGGTAACTTGCTTTATTTAATGATGGTACACTAATAACTGCTGCGAAGCAAGTTACAGGTATACCACGGTTTATCTGATTCGATTTGGGACAAGGATGACTGGACACCATTCGTTTTCTCAACTAAAAATCACACGAGCCTTCACTGAATTCGTATCCTGGTGGCTTCAACGCAATTTCGTAATGTCTTAACTGTTACTTGCTTACCCGTATGTGTTGCAGAACAATTGCATTGACGATATTGTGGTTGATGCACTCCTGGGGGCGCTATTTATTTATTTATTTATTTCGTCCAGTTAGATAAGCGCATATGTCTGTATGCACTCTTTTGTCGCTGAAAAATCTCTACAGCTTTCTTATAAATTTCTACATCGTACCTTAATATATTGGCAATGTCTGGATCGGATTCAATCTCACGTTTAAGATCATTCACATAATTTGTCTTAGTTTGTTTCCCGGATGTAGCTGTAAGACTGTCTGGGTAGAAGGATTTTCTAAATACCTTACCCTTGCAACGGTCAAAATAGTTGATCCCGTATACGTATTGCAGTAGTTTCAGCGAAAGGTTGTATTCATCTAGAATTCCAATCACTGCAAACCAGTTTTCTAAATTGTCCAGAAAATATTGTAAGAGCAAATCTTTTTCATGGCGACTCATATCGTCCAGGAGGAGTTTATGTCTAAACCAGCACGGCGGATAGGATTTGTGCCGTCCTCCGTATGTAATATTCTCCATAATTGGCAGGATTACTTGTTTCAGTGTCGCAACAGAGCATATATCAACATAATTAAATTGTAGTTGACGAAATACGTAACTGCCCTGATGTACAATCCATTCTTTCAATGTTATACTGGAAGCGTCAGTTGTCACACACAGTGGGTCTCTGTCACCTTTCCTCGAAGAACAGTATCTGTAACTGGAAATAGCCCGTTCATATGGATCCCTTAAAATGGCAAAGTAGGAACACGCAGGGTCATCTATGAAGTCACACACGCCCATGGATGCTTCTCCAATATACAGTGTACACAGTCCGCTGACAGTCGACGGTTCTACTTTTTGGAGATGCAGCGAATTCCAGTTACCAACATAGGGCTGTCCAAGTCGTATCAAACCCTGTTCGTCCATCTTTCTGCTACACCTTTTAACTGTGGTTCCACCTGATTTAGGATTATGAAAGAACACGATATTTCTTCCTCTGCAATGTGACGGAAATCTGTCAAGCTCGCCAATGTTAATAAACACATTTGGTTGCCAGTACTTCCGTTCCAGCCACGGATATTTCCGCAAGACACTTTCTAATTCATCGCCGCTATGCGATTGGATCGATGTGTCATCGTGGATCAACATTGTTTGTAACCTGCGAAGGAGAAAATCATGTCTAGTTTAACAGTTCCAACTAATTATGTAAACCGGTGTTGTCTTAGGCATGGAGTCTGAAAGGTATATAGTTCAAGGCGAAAATAATATAACAACACGAGCTTGTGACCTATATTGACATCATTTCACGAACCATACTGAATTGATTTGATTTGTAAACTTGGTATCCAGTGTGGATGAAACACATAATCCGCCGGGGGAGGGGGCTACTTCCGCATTAAGTGGGTAAGGGTGTGCAGCCCACCTCTCGTAAACCATACTCACTTCTAAACCATTTTTTTCTATTTATATACCCACTTCTAAACACAAGTGTTTTCAGCAACAACAAAAAAACACCCGAACTTTCACAACCAGTGAGCGCATCCGGGCGATGCGTTTTATTCAGCATTTTCCGGTATTTGGCTTTTAATATAAGGACCTGTGAAAAAGTAAATAAATTCTACACACTTCTAAACCAAACCATTGATAAATGACTACCCACTTCTAAACAAAATAACGTGAAATGACACCCCAGTCGGGCAGCACATAACCGTATTGCACTTCTATGCAAGTAGCCCCCCCCCGGGGAATAATCCGTACCATTCCAAGAGACATTAACGTAATGACCTAATCAGAATCACGTTAAGAAGTTTCATTGTAAAGCTTTGTATGTATACTGTGACGTGTGTACATGACATTTGGTGTGTTACTGTTATAGTAAGTGTCAGATATAGAATACGTGTATGCATGCAGTGTGACATTGGTGTGTTACTGTTATAGTAAATGATATAGAATACTTACGTAATGTGTGCTAATGTATCACGTGGTAAAGTATCACTTTTCATGAGCAGCCTACTGTGAGTTATCAAGGTGATAAACGCAATGAGAACAGCGCTAGACATAAAAATTACTTTTATTCTAGCCATTGTTAAGCGTTGTACGTATGACAACATGTGGCATTGCGCACAGCTGTTGTCAGTGTTAATTTCATGGCGTTCGTTACTCTAAACACACGGCTGCTGTGATTAACCAAAACGTTATAATTGCTTGTGTCATACATAGATAATTAGTAGTGCTAGGATGCAATAGTTATTGGTTGTTTAATCTGAGTTGGAATGAATATGACATTGCTCTGTAAACGAATGGTTTCGTAAATATTATCATCACGCCATTCTATTTTACAGTCATATTCAACATCACGACAATAACTTGAGATACCGGTACACAACACACGTATATGGACCACAGGGAGCCCATGAACTATAATCA